CGCCAAACGGCATGCTCAGTCCCCGCATGGCCGCCGCGTCCAAGTTGAGGCTTGCGTACGGCGCAGTGTTGAGCGCAGGGTACGTCTGGTGGTGGAGCCAGCTGGAGCCCGGGTCCGCGGGGGCCTCGGTGGTCATACTCTGCAAAGGGCGAGGCTGGGCGACGCAAGCGGGTTGCCCTCATGGATGGAGCCCGTGTGGTCCAGCGCCACGCGGGCGCGCGGGCCGGAGCCGGCGTGCTGGTGCAACGCGGCCATCAGCGCATTGAGCGACCGCGGCGTCAGCACCGTGGGCTCGTGCGCGGCGGGGCCGGGCGTGCCGTAGAAGCTCCGCAGAAGCGTGTCTGGCGGGGGCGGCGACGGCGACAACGAGCCATCCGCATGCAAGAGCGGGGCTTTTTCCGCGACGCGGCACGCGGCAACGCGTGCGAGAACCCGGCAAACTGGACGCTGGCCTGGTGCTCCGACATGCGCCGCGGCTCGTAGTCCGGGACGCGGCCCGCACGGGCGGCCTCGACCCGGTTGAAGAGCAGCACGTACGTGGCCACCGCGTCGCGGAACGCGTTCTTCCACTGCGCGTCGAGCCCGTCCAAGATGTCGATCTCACGCGCGAGCTCGGGCTCCCAGTCGGACCGCAAACTGAAGATCTTCTGCATGGTCTGGGCGCCAGCCCTCGTCAACGGACCGTCGCGCGTGAACATGTCCGCGGGAGGCGCCGTGGACGCGTCGTCGTCCGCCGGTGGCGGCAGCACCAGCACCAGCAGCACAACCAGAGAAACGCCGGCGCCGCCGCCACCGCTGCCGCCGCTAGCCGGGTGGACCAACGCGCGGAGCTGCGCAGCCACGGGCCCGAGGACCCGCTTGTCCGCGGCCAACAGCTTGAGCGCGTCGTCCGCCAGCGCGGTTCTGCGTCTGGCCGCGGCGATGTCCGCTTGCAACGCGGCCACGGCATGGGCCACGCGGCCGTGCTCGGCGTCCGCGGCCTGGCGCACCTGCTGGTGCTTCTCGCGGAGCTTGGCCACACGCCCGCGGAGCTCCGCGAGCCGACCAGCGCTCAAGCCGCGCGAGGCCTCAAGCGTGCGCAACAGCTTGGCGAGCTTGAGGCGGGCGAACGTGAGCAGGTCCTTGCGGCGCTCCAAGTCACGGAGGTCCAGGTCCTTCTTGGCGCGGCCGTCCGTGCTGGCGCCCAACTGGCGGCGGCAGGCCGCGAGCTCGGAACGGAGCCGCGCCTCCTCGCAGGCCTGCGCGGCGGTCTGCGCGTGGTGGTCGCCCGAGGCGCGGGCCGCCTCCTGCTGCGTGGTGGCGAGGTACGCCATGAGCGTGTGCTCGTCAGCCACCTGCGCCACGTCCAAGGCCGCGATTTCCGCCGGCGCCACGCGCGGGCCCGGCGGTAGGGGCGGCACGTGCGGCCGGCGGGCACCGGCGGCCGGCGGCGGCAAGGCGGGGCGCCCCGGGCCGCTGTACGTGTGCACGTACACGGGCGGCAGCTGCGAGACGAAGCTGCTGGCCACGTTGACGGCAAGCACCTGGACGCTGTAGACGGTGTCCGGCAACAAGCCGCTGAGGCGCGCCAGCGTGCGGGCCAACGAGGCCACGTCCTTGCCGTTGACCATGAGCGCGTAGAAGACGGCCTCGTCCGGGGCGGCGGCGGCCCAGCGGAGGTCCACGTGCGAGCTGCCCAACGCGTCCACGCACACCGCGGGCGGCTGCGGGATGTCCACGTGGAGCCGGCGGATCAACTTCTCCGCGGGCGTCTGGAGGAGCCGGTAGCACCGGAGCAAGAGCCAGCAGACCGACGGCACCACGGTGAGAAGCACCTCGATCATGGCCGGGAGGTGGTGGGCGGGCACGGAGAAAGGAGGGTGGGGGTTCCGTTGTGGAGGATCCGTTGTGAGGGTTCCGTTGTGAGGGTTCCGTTGCAGGTTTGCCGTGTTTAGGCCCGTGTTGCAGGGGGGTCCAGAGAGGTTTGCAAGCAGATGAGATGTTTGCGGCCGGTGTGTTTTTTTTTTCTTTGCTCCAGGGCCGCGCTCCAGGGCCGCGCTCCAGGGCCGCGCTCAAGTGGGCTTCATCTTTTTTTTGTTTTTTGATCTTTCGGTGCGTTTTGGCGTTTCTGCTTTTTGGTGGTTTTGTGCTTTTTGCATTTTGGGCATTGTTTGCGTGTGTTGGCGCCCCTCGGGCCTCTGCTGGCCAGGCCAGGCCGTGCCGGGTGGGGCCTGGTCTCCTGGCATTGGCCTCCTGATGCCTGTCTCTGCCGGCCACCGGCTCGCTCGGCCTGGAGGGCCGGGCTGCGCGGCGCTGGTTCTGGGGCCAAGCCTGCGCGCAGGGCCACGGGCCTTTGGAAGCCGCCCGAGGGGTTTCAGAGGAGTTTCAAAGAAGCCCCGGGATAGGCCCGAGCGGGGCCTTTGGATGGCTCCACGGGGAATCTGAAACACTCCTCGAAATGGCCACAAAAAGACTCGGGCATGTCTCCGAAGATTTCGTGAGATTTCCACAGGGGCTTGGAAAGGGGTTTCACAGAGGCCTAGGAAAGGCCCCCAGATTCAACGAATCCCGGAAGAGCTCCAAAGGCACCACAAAAACCGGCCCTTCTGGGCCGGCGCCAGGATTCTCGGATTTCTCTCCCTCTTTTTTGCACGGTTTTTGGTTCCGTAGTCTGTCTACTCTCGTTACCCGCGCCCAGCTGCCGGCCTTGTCACTTGGGCGTTTTGCCGCCGAGCCAAATCCACAATCTGCCCGAGCTTGCCGTTAAGAAACACGCGGCCGGAAGAGCACTTCCGCGTGCCGCTCTTGTTGAGTCTTCCCAGCCGGAATCTGGCTCTTTGGGCCAGTGGCTTTGAAGATTGCCGCGCTGTTTGGGCCAGTCCTGCAGCATCGGAATGGGTGCGAAATCCACCACAACGGCTGCGAATTCATAATAGTGGGTGTGATTCCATCACAATCGGTGCAAAATCCATGACACGCCAGCTCACTGGAAGCTCGCGCATGGGGCGTTCGTTTTTGCACTGGCATTCCCCGCTCAGATCAAAAAACGGCCGGCCCTGTAAGTAAGGTTTTAATTCTCTATCCTGCACCAGATTGTCAGATGTCGATTCCATAGCTTGGACTACTTGGAAGCGCATTCTACACATTGGCGGAAAAGCTCCCGACAAACAGTTATGTAGGAATATGATCTTTTGTTTTTCCGGGTACTGAGGAATCGGAACGGGGACAAGCGAATCCACTGTTGAGGTTTGATCGCAATATCCACAACTGCGATCTCACTGATGCTTTTCCAAAATAAACAAATTCTTGATCGCCTTCACATCCACCCAACTTCTGGTGCCCCTTTGGATCATCCTGAATTACATGTCACATACCGAAGAGCCGATCCGACCGAATTCGACAGAGTATTTTCGCAAAGAACAAGTGCTATTTCATGGCATTCAGATGTCTCTTACGAGCTTCAGCCTCCAGGCACGACTTTTTTCTCGGTGATCGAAGGCCCAGATTCTGGCGGCGATACTATTTTTGGAAATGATGGGGAAGTTTTGGCAAGAAGCAGGAAGTACCCCGCGCGCGCCACGCCAGCGAGTTTAGATTGTAGTCGTGAAAATCAGTACATTATTCTAATTCGAGGCTTGAAACCACAAAAAGTTCATCCAAGTAAAACCCATATATAAAAGCCTTAGAATGAGTAATCCCTAGGGAGCGCATCAGCTTGCGTTAATTACGTCCCTGCCCTTTGTACACCTTCCGTCGTTACTACCGATTGATTGGCTTGCTGAGGCCTCTGTATGAAGCCTGGAGCTGGGGCAGGCCAGCGTAGTGCCGAGACACTGGTTATGCTTGGTCATGTACAAGAAGCAAAAATCGTGACATGGTGTCCGTAGGTGAACCTGCGGAAGGATCACTAAGAAAATAAAATACTCCCTTTTTGGGAAACCAAATCTGAACATTACATCTGAATACAAACAAAACCTTTCAACAGCGGATCTCCTGGTTCTCGCATTGATATAGACGCAGCGAATCGCAATACGTAAATCAATATGAAATATTTGAAACAGATTTATTGAGACATCAGCTGATTTTTAGAATTCACAAGCTACTTCAATGAATAATGTTTTAAGTCTTGTGATTTTGAGAATCATTAAATTTTTGAAGGCACATTTCGCTTTATGGTATCCCTCAAGGCATGGATCAAATGGCTCCAGATTGAGTTTTAGAATCAAATGCTCTCCCCTCATCTTCGTGAGACTAACCCTCAGGCATTTTCTGAAGCGGGGAAAAGGAATCAACACGATTTAGTATCGGCGAGAGAAGCGGCAATGCTCAAATTGAAATCCCCAGAGAATTGTAGTTTAAAGGTGCTCTCAGTTAGTTCAAAATTCTCAAATCCATTGGAAACGGCGCCATGGAGGGTGGCGGCCCCGTAAGTATTCTGACTGCTCTATTTTCTTAGACCACCAAGAGTCGAATGTAGCTCTAAGTGGATTGTAAGTTCCATCTTAAACTAAATATTGACATCACACCGGCCGCGAACAAGTGCAGTGACGAAAAGGTAAAGCACTTTGAAATAGAAGGGAAAAGCACGTGGAATTTTTAAAAAGGAAGAGCTTGCACGCAGACACAACCTTGGTGACAATCCACTCGCCTGTCTCGAGAGATACTTAGCAAGCCATGCCGATGATACAAAACAACCCCGCAAGAAAAGACGAGACTATTCCTGGCCTCTGTTTCTTTTGTCAGATAAGTCGGCAAAAGAATCACTCGATGGTTTAAGCACCATTGCTACATGCAGCGGGATATCTCTTTGTTCATGGATCTGGCCGCCGTAAAAACCAATCGTCAATATAGCAGCCAAAAATAACTCCCAACAATCGAAAGCAAACACTACTCTATTCAGTGAAGCAGATCGCTGATGAAAGCGCGATGTGATGGGTAAGATGACTATGCGAGCCAATCATGAAATAGGCGCAGCAGGCCCGCTTGAGCATGGTTCCTGATATTCGTTTTCATTGATGTCGGCCAAAACCACAAAAGGGTTCTTAGAGAAAGGAAAGTCAGGGATAGCAGATTCTGGCTCACTGGTGAGTTTCTTTTCGGAAACAGTTGATTTAGTCCCAGGAAGTGGTCCGGTGAGTATGTTCGAGGTTTCTGTCCAAAGAATTTGTTGTACATTGGCCATAACCGTGAAAGCTCTTCATTTAAGACTAGACACTATTGCATCAATATTTTGCAGCAGATCCCCAAGTTGAGCGAAACAGCGTCATCCATGATTGATATCATGTAAGAATATGTTATGAGCACTGACAAGCATATACTTGTATTGAAGCCTGGTGAGGATAAGAGTCTTGCTCGTCTGTCAAAATTATTTCTCAAGGCATTCAATCAGACTACAATATAAATTCCCAAATACACCACAATAACGGGACCAATGAGTAGAAGATGCGTCCGCTGTGGAAGAGGATCAGACGTTCAGCTGTCAGAAAAATGATGCTTCTGTTAAACAAAACATCAGGCAATTTTTTTCGATGGACAGTTTCAAGAAATATCTCACCTCAAAACAATGAGAATCATGTAAATACATTGAGAGATTGCAAAACCTTTGAGGGGTGCTACAAACACGTGTCACTATCCTTCAAGCTTACGGGAAACCATGTGGGGACGGCGGAATATATGCTCAAAGAGATGAAACAATCAGATTGAAAGTGACGGTGAAAATCATGTCGATAGACCATTGTTCTAAAATGATGAGTTGTTTTGAAGCTAGGATAACTTTTGAGATGCTAGGAAGTATACTTTGAACTATGAGGTCCCGGTGTCTCGGGTGTTTCGCTTCGAATGCGATAATATTTATTATATCATGCTTATTGATCTCGAGAAACAGCTAAAGAACAGGCCAATCCCCCAGATGAACATGTTAAAAGGACCAAGATAGGTAATTTATCTGGGAACGTATCCAAATGTCACTGGTTCTATGAATTTGAACATATGCCGATCAGACTGGGTTGAAATTTGGCTCAAATAAGGCATCGGATCCCAGATACACCCGAAGGAGCGCATTGAAATAGCGGGCGTAGACCAACCAGTTTTCGAGGGACCGCAGAAAAATGGAGACGGTGATGATGGCTTTGAATCCCATGCTGTTTCTTCTAATCTCTATGTTAGCATTCCACTTGTAAAGATGCAATGAAAGTGATGAAAGCTACATTGAGATTGCTTATTTACAACAGCGGAACGGATGTACAGGCAATCAAGTTCTTGTGAATCAATACTTAGCAATCAGACATACTAAATTGAGTAAAATCAGTCCAGTGATAAAATTAAAAAGCCAACTAGGTAAAAAACTGTACCATATGCAAACACACAAAGCTTGCTCGGGAATATTTACCTGAATGTAGTTTCGAACAGCTATTTGCGGAAATTGTACACGCTTCTTGACGAATGTAGGCCGTCACCAATTTTCAACTTGTAGTATTTGGAGCGGACCTTCAATCAAACATGGTTCGGGTTTTTTGTTTTTTTGCTTGCTACGACATTTACCAGAAGGTAGAAGAAAGACCCAAAAGAACAAGCACTCGTACTTAATGGTAAACGATTTACCCCTAACATTGCTGACTTGTACAGAGGATAATCCAAGACAAGCAGACGACATTGACTTCATTAACAAACTCAATTTACAAAACATTCATCCTATGTTCTTCGGTCTTATCAATTCACCAACACATGAGATCGGTCTTTTGTTTGGAAAAAAACGCAACACCCTGGGTTCTACTGAAATGGGTAGGTCTCTGAGGCAAACATCTCGCAAAAGAATCCTGCTGGATACTGTTTTTCGTCACGTGCTGTCCAAACATATGTGGCTCCCAAAGTTTTCTTCGATGTCTAGTATTTGATCAGTGCTCGCGATGTAACGATTACGGGCTCATCTTTATATGCTCTTCTGAAGCCTCGATTCTACTGGATGGCGTCTTGTAGCATGGATTTGCCGCAGTACTCTTTCATCTCCGTCGCCTTTCAATTTCCTATTTTGTCTTTCACTCAAATTAGCACCCATCTCCGAAGTGTCGCATCAGAATCGGCATGAGGTTCGATGTGCTGGAAGTACAGTCGGTCATGAGCACCTTCAAGGCTTTCCTGCAAAACATACGATATTCCTGAAGCGGATTATCAAGCTCATGAGCGTGATTTGCCATGTTTATCACCAAAGGTGACTGGTCTCCCAACCCACGGAGCCCAACCACAGCCTAAAGAATCGGTGCCTTTTAGATTGCAACTACACTTGGCTTGCAAGATCCCTGTGACAGTAATATCCGTATCTCATTGGTAGCATATGCAGTGTTTAGACTAAAACATGGCCTTTCGCATAACCGCGCAAGTCTCCAAAGCTGGTCATGACATGAGCCTACGGCCCGTGCTGACCAGGCCTCCAGCGGGCCCATGCACATTCACCGGATCAGGCGCATGGCCATGCCCGAGGCAGCCACGAGCAACAAGTTGAATAAGCCCAAGATGAAAAACGGGCCGAACACCCAGCGGTCACTCCAGGTGCCGCCGAGCTTGGAAATGAGGAGGATCCCCATGCCTCCCGAGAGGTTGTAGAGCCCCGTGATGCTGCCAATGACGCGGTGCTCCGCGTCCTCGAACAGCTGCCCTGCTTTGCTGACCAAGCTCATGGACGAGATGATCAGGCCCATCTGTGCCACGCCAATAACGCTGAGAAGAATGAAACACGCCGCGTTGCGCGGGTCGTATACGGCCGAGCCCAGCCCGAGCACGCAGAGCGCAAAGCAGCCCGTGCAGTTCAAGACCGAGGCCACCAAAAGCGCAAACAGGCACCCCATTTTGGGCGCGTCCACCACATAGCTCCACGCGGGCGCCGATACCAAGGACGCCACGGACGCCACGCCCGTGAGCACGGCCAGGAATATGAACGCGTTGTAGCAGTTGTTGTCCGGCGGCGCGTCTGCACGGGGCTCGGGGCTGCCGCATGTGCCCGTGGCCAGGTAGAACTTGTACACGATCAAGGGCGTGAACACCGAGGTTGCGATGGCCGTGCAGCGCGCGATAAAGCCGCCCATGTACGCGAGCTGGAGCTGGCGGCTGTTGAGCGAAACGATCACGGCCTCGCGCATGAGCTGCACGTAGGAGGCGTTGGGTTCGTCGGCGGCCCTGGAGCCGTCCACGATGCGGCGCTGCTTCACGGAGTCGTAGCCGCCGACAAAAACAAGCGCGCCGCAGACCACCGCCGCGGCGCCCAAGATCGTGTACGAGGCCTCGAGGCACTTTGCTGTGGACCAGTCGGTGTGTCTGAGCGAGAGCCGTGCCGGCAAAGGGAGGAACACGGCCACGGCCAAGATGGCGCCCAGGCCCGCGCACAAGCCAAGCAACGCACTGAGCTTGCCGTGGGACTGCTTTTGCTTCTGGGTCGCGGCCCACTCGCCGTCCTCCATGAACAACTGGTCCTCGTCGGCGTCCGAGGCCTGCGCGGGGTCGTCCGCGAGCAACAGGCCCCGGGGATCGTCGGCGCGGGTCCAGAACTTGATTTGCAGCCATGTAAAGTCCGAGTTGCTGGCCTCGTGGAGCATCACCACGGCAATGCCCATGACGGCGGCCACGCCCACGGCAAAGACGGAGCGCAACACGTAGAGGCGCCACACGAAGCCGGCGGCTAGCTGGCCGTATCCAAGGAGCGCCAGCGCCAACGCGCCAAAGCCGGCGAGCTGCAAGATCCGCGGGCCCGAGGGCATGCTGCCGGCTTTCCACGCCATGCCCTGCAAGCGGTCATTGAGTGTGCCGATTAACGGCGAGGTGGCAATCACCATGAGCTCGTCCACCACGCCCAAGCTGCCGGTGACCTTTCCGATTTGGTCCGGGCTGATTCCGATAACATCCGACAAGTAGAAGGGCTGCGACGCCAGGAGAAACACCACGAGGGAAATGCACGCGAACGCGGCGAAGTTGTAGGCCACGAGATTGCGCGCGCGGAACTGCGGGTTCAACACGCGGAGCTGGGGGTGCATTTTTTTTGTCAGCCGCGTCTGGTGTTTGTGGACTGGTTTTATGGCAACGCTGTTGTCAAGCCTTGGTGGGAAAACCTTGGTGGATTGGCTTTTGCAGCTTTGCCGTCAAAAAAATCGGCCGTTGGGAATCGGTGTAAATCTGCCGTTGTAATTGGCTTTGAGTGTGTTTCTGGACTGGCACTGTGGCTGTTTTGGGCTGTTGTTTAGTGTGCTCCCGGGTCTCTGGCTTTTTTGTGCTGGCCTTGAGTTTCAGGAAAAAGAGTAGTTGCGAAACGTCACGCTCAGGTTTAGCGCGCGCGAGCCGTCAGCGGCGTCTGCGCCTGCACACAGCACCATGCCGGCCACGTCGGGCACCTCGTTTTTGTGGCGGCTGGCCAATATGGATTTGTATATACCACCGGACCAGGATAGTTTCTGAGTGAAAGGACTCTGCCGGGATACGAGTCACGTGCCGTGCCGGTGGCATCGGTGCTTTGGCGTGTCCGAATATCGGGAGTGTATGTAGTCCGGCGGAGATTATCTGTAAGATCAGCCGCCCGCGGCGTCACGTGTCGGGAGCCAGTGGAGAATACCGGTGATGCAGTTGTCACTGCTGAGCCTTGTGGCTTTATGTGGTGGTGAGGGTTTCAAGGCACTAGTCATCAGTACTAAATATAGTGACAAATCATTGGTTTTGTAAATAGCTACAAATTACAGTTCATAGATCGCCACAAATTTCAGTTTCATAAATAGCCACAAACTACAGTTTCATGAATAGCCACAAACTACAGTTTCATAGTTTCATAAGTACCTACAATATACAGTGTTGTAGGTCCTCCGTGCTCGGTCCGAGTCGGTTCTACGTTTCATCAGTGCGAAAATTAGCGGACTATAAATCATGGGCGCTATCGGGCTAGACAATCACTGCCAAAAGTTACAGTGCTCTAGATGGTATATCCAATGATTGATATTTCAATGAGTTACAGTCCTACGAGTTATAGCCCTACCAGTTATAGCCCTATCAGTTATAGCCCTATCAGTTATAGCCCTATCAGTTATAGACTTATGAGCTGTAGCCCTATCACTTATAGACTTATGAGCTGTAGTCCTATCAGTTATAGCCCTATCAGTTAT